GTATGTGCAAAGATTAGAGAGTAGAACAAGGGTGTAGCAGGTGGGGGGCAGGTACACATCTATCTTTGTGTCCTTTCAGACTAAGACAAAACACCCACACAGGGCACAGGATTCATGGCTTTGTTTTGTTTTTTTCTTAAACCTAATTTGTAACATCTTGTCACAACACTTCCTGTGCACTATCTTCTTTCAGGAATAACACTTTTTGCTGCTACCCTTTAAAAAATGTCATTCTTCATAACTTAACTCTTATCCCTTGAAATTGTTACTGGGGTCTACTGCTTTCCAACTTTTTCTTTGTTTTCTTTTTTTAAGAGACAGGGTCGGGCTCTGTCACCTATACTGAAGTGCAGTGGCCAGATCATAGTTCACTGCAGCCTCAAATTCCTGGGCTCAAGTGATCCTCTCATTTAGGCCTTTCTGAGTAAAGACTACAGGTGTGTGTCACCACACCACGCTATTTTTTTTTTATAGCGACAGTCTCTCACTATATTGCCCAGGCCAGTCTCAAACTCCTGGCTTCAAGGGATCCTCCTGCCTTAGCCTCCCAAAGCTCTAGGATTATAGGCATGAACCACCATGCCCAGCCCAACTTTCTATGATAATGAAAATGTTCCATATCTATGGTGTATCATACCATACCTACATGACTACTGAGCACTTAAAATGTGGCTAATGCAATATAGCAATGGAATTTTTAAACATACTTTATTTTAGTGCAATTAGTTACATGAAGCCACCTTACTGGACAGTGCAGGTCTAAGGGAAATTTACAGTGGAAATTGGTCACAAAGGCAATATGCAGATAAATAAACACAGATGAAATTAAACCACAGAGTGAACTGCGCCTTTGAACTGGATTTTCTCCCATCCTTAAAGCGTTGCTTTTCCTTATCCTATACACAAAGTACTCAATAAATAAAACTAGCCTCAGAACAGAGTGATCTTGCATCAGGCGTGCGAATTTCTATCCCAGATAGGTACCGGTTTTGGTGCCCTATATCTAAACTTCCATTATTACAAAATGACAGCAGTCTTACCTTCACTATCCCTCAGATAAATATGATGAGGATGAATAGCTCTGAAAGTTATTTGGGCTTCTCATAAGCATGCTGTACTTGACCACTTGGTTGACTGTCCTCCAGGCCTCTTAATCCTTTCCTCTTTGAGGGAGTGGAAACAGAAAATCAAGGGTAGGCACTGGGGCAAAAATATCAGTCAGGTTGCGCGTACAAGATACATCTGCTAGACTTTTCAGTGCCAAGGAACAAGGCACTGCAGTGTTCAGTACTTCCTGGTGTCATTAATCAATAGTTATGAGTAAGCAGTTTGGTGTACTGATACTGCTGTGCGTCATTTAATCATTTATCTAAATCTATAGGTTCAATTAATTTTCTTTGTATTTACTTAACCTTATTTTATTCAATAGCAAACCAGTCTTTCTGCCTGCTAGAGAGCCATGATATTTTCTCTGGTTCTTGGAAGAACTGTACTTGGACCTTATATAATCCTCAGAAAGGCAAGATCTGGACTACGAATGAGTCACCTGCTAATTATACCAATGGCTGCTCCTTCCTTGACCCGTCACAGAGTATTACCCTATCTCGGTATGCTGCTCTGCTTGTCGCGTAGTAGGTCAATAAATATTTGTTTTGTGAATGAATGTATGAATAAAGGGAAGTTTGTCACGTGTAAGGGTGGGTAGCCTGCGATAAATAAAGCGTAGACTAGGAGGTCTCAAAATACTTTTTGAACTAAGCCCTTAATCTTCACTACTTTGGAGTAGAATGGAAATGTCACCAACGCCTTCCCAATTAATTTGCCCTTGCTGTAATGACTGAAACTAGAACTTCCCTTTACACCCATGACCTCTACAGGCATCTCTTTCTTCCGCTCAAGAACAGTAACTGCTCACTGCTATGTCAGCCACATAGCCCCAGAGCCGGGGTGAGAGGTAAGGCTATAGGCTCCTAACTCCCGGCAGTGCCTCTCTCCAAACCCCCACGAGGGTGGGATAGCTCCCTCCATCTCAGCAGCCGCTACCAAGCACCCGACCCACTCTGGCCCGCCTCATCCCTCGATCCCCTTCCCTCCTTCTCACAACACTCCGCGTAAAACTAGCCCAGCCTTCCCAGCCCTACCACCAGTTTTCCCACTTCCGCCCGGCGCGTGAGGCCCTGGGCGGTGCAGGGGAGCGCTGACGACAGACGTGGGCCGTGACGTCACCGCGCCCTGACGTCAAGCCGACGGGCGGCGCGGTCGCCCGGGAGACCAGGAAAGCCGTTTCACACCCGTCGTAGTCGAAGTGGAGGTGAGGGACGATGGCTTTCCTCAGCCTGGGATGACCCGGTCCACCGGAATGCAGTTCCGGAGTGGAGGCGTGCTCGCACCCGGGGAGAGGACCAGAAAGCTGAGCCGCGGTGCCCCAGCGAGGGCACGAGGTCCCGGGCCTGGACTCCGCCGCCACACTCTTCTGCGGCCCCTTCCTGCTCTCTGCCAGCCCGCGGGTCCCAGGCGCGGTCCGCCTTCCTCCCAGCCCCAGGGAACGCGCGGCTCTGCTTCCTCACCCCCGCACCTTCCTCCTCCTCCTCTTCCGGCCACGGCAGGTCCAGGGGAAACGGGGTTAGAAAGGGACAGATTTGAAAGCCGTTCCAGCAGTTTTGTCTGGCCTTGCGGTTGGTTTCTGTGCGGAAGATCCCGCCGCTTCAGGGAAGTCTTAGGACGTGAACTCCCGCCTTCACCTGCCCCTGACCTGCTCGTAGTGGTGTGATTCACGCTAAGGCAATGGTTCTTTACGTAAGGGCTTGAAAGCTGAACGTGAGTTAATGGCCTAACGTGACACTGGTGTGAGAAACGGAATTGGAAATGAACAAGGACGTGTCTGCATTTTAAAAAATGTCTTTTCGGTGATCTTGTTAGAGAGGAGGTTCACAAACACTCACGTAGCTGCGGCCACTTATCACTGCACCTCTTGCCAAAGTGCAGTCCACACACGTGCAATGAGAAAAATTAAAGGGACTTGTTTGATAACACACGCAAAACTATGTAAGACCAAATTTTAAAAATTTACAAATTTTCCCTGTTGCCAAAAGGGAAAGAGACCCTTCTTCTTTCTCGAGAAACTTAGTATTTGTGAATTCTTCCTCAATTTAATATGTATGAAAATCTTTTTTAAAACCTAGGAATGCTTTTCTTGAGGACCTGGAAGCCATTTCTTTTAAAATGTAAACATCAAGGAAGATAGGGCCCTAATCTCCCTATCGCTTTGGGAGTTTAACCTACCTGCGTTATTCCTAATTGTAAACACCTGCTTTGTTATAGCGCTATGCATTCCTTAGGAGGAAAGCCGTTAGCTAACACAGGTGGTTACCCCAATTACCAGATGAATTAAAGAAGAAATATAAAAGAATGTATAGAACACTATGTTAAGCCCTCTTCCATGAGGACACGTTACCAATTTCCTTGAGAATGTGTGTGACGGATTATATCTCCTTGACTGTAGTAAGAAGAGTGGGATTTCCTTCTCTCTTTGTAACCTCATTAGCAGATTAGCTGTGATGTACATCAAAGTCTAGTTAAATGCCTAATTACTAATAAAATTGTTGTCTTTCTGCATTGTGGAGCATTTTCTGAGTTGGCAGGATATTTTACTTTTAATTTCCCCCCAATAATCATAACCTGCCAGTTCCTCCCCTTCTTATGCTAAGGCCATAAAGTTGGAATAGATTCTCAATGAGGGCACTACACAAAAACTGTTCTACTGGTGCTTTGCTTCTACTGTCATTTAGATCCGTGCTCTCAGATAGTTTTATGGGTGAAATTTTAAAAGGATGTTTAGATGGTGATTTTTTGGAAAATTCTCCCAATAGAGTTGAAGTTACTGTTTTATTTTACTGATGGCAAATCCACCGTTAAATGACAGAAATGAGAATAATGAACCTTCTGGGCTCTTGCCACATGATTATGACAAATCTGCCAAACATCCGATTATGGTTGGACCTATGTTGACATGGTTAATGGTACGTCCGTTGCAGACCTCAGTTAACTTTAAGACACATGTCATATTATGTTTTATGTGGGAAGACATAAAGCTCGTTAGTTTTTGGTTTTCAACAGCACCTCACTGAAATGAGTCTTTGTGCTAACACAAGGAACAAGGAATCTTCTCTTCCACTAGTGGTTGCACCATTTACAAAGATAATGCCACTATAGGACCTTTTGACAACTACAGTTTTCCTGCTGCCTTGCTGTATGGCCGGGGTTGCTGTCTCTGATAGAGTACCTCCAGTCTCTCTTTTCAAAATCCGGCCCTGATTGAATGCGAACAACCTCAGGAAGCCTTCACTAACTCCCACCTCTCATCTGAAACATAAGATATTTTCCTTTCTTGAACTCTTAGACTGCTCTTGTCTATAACTCATGGTCCTCAGGCCTTCTTTCCTGCTATGGAATTGTGCCTGTATCATCTGACTCTGCTGTCACTGCTCTCCCTCTTCTCCTGACTCCTTAGATATGTACAAACAGCCCTCACTCATGAGGGAAGGATTTAAAAAAAAAAAAAAAAGGAACCCAAAGTGCTCCTCCGTTTATCCTCTGTAGTTTTATGAAAGTAGTGACTCACTTTTATATTGAATGACTTTTATTAGAAAAAGAAAATCTGTTAAAAGTAAAATATCTGCATAAAATTATGTAAATGTCCATCTTAGATAAAATTGGCACTTCTTATTTTTTGATCAGTCTTCTGTTCAGTATTTGCATATGATATTTAATCTGGTAACTCTAAATTCTCTCTTTCTGTATTTAATCCAGTATTCATGACACAATTGCTTTTTTCATCTGCTAAACTTAAATGCTGTATTTTCATACTTTTTCTGGCAGCATTTCAGAAAAATACTTGATTTTTAAAATATACTGAAATGTGTATTTAAAATTTTAGTCATTATGTATTTGAAAAACAATTAGTAGTAAATCACAGCAGAAATTACTATTAGACTATAAAGTTCTAACAGAAGAGAAAATATTCTTTCTAACTTAGCAGTCTCTATAGTTCTCTCCTGTTCTATTGGCCCAATAACTAATGGAGAAAACCCTAATTGTACTTTCTAACATTGAGCTGATGAAATAAGCATCTGTTGAAACAGTTATCACCATTCATCCCCAAATACTCCCAAGAATTTATAAAGCATTTTAGTTTGAATGTTCTCTACATTATTTCTGTTTGACTGTTGCCATCAGTGTTCTTAGATTTCTTTTTGCTTCAAAGCTCTCTCACCATATTTTGGGAAGTTATGGATCGTCACATTCCCGTGCATGCTTTGCCTGAAGAAATCCAAAAGGTATGCTATTATATTGTGTTGCTACAGCCTAACAGTAGTTAGATAATTCTGAAACCTAGAGGAGTGAATTCATTAATTTTGGTCATAGGATCTGAATGAATTGGTGGAGTGGGAGAGGGAATAATTATTATCATAATGAGCAGAATTGTGGAATTCAATTCAGTATAAAGAATTTTGTTACTATGAAAGAAGACATATATCTAATTCCAACACAGTATTTGACCAGGTGGTTGTGGAGCCCTAGTGAAAAGCAGGCATCAGAAACGTCCATGTGTGTTTCAGTGGAGCTGGATTTCTAAGCCTCTATTATGGTTTCACCAACATTAATTCTCAGTATTTACTGTGTGCCAAGCACTGTTTTAAGCCCTTTTTATGCAGTTGACCCTTGAACAACATGGAATTAAATTGTGTGGGTCCACTTATATGTGGGTTTTTTAAATAAATATATTGGAAAATGTTTTGAAGATTCGCAATGGTTTGAAAAAACTCACAGGTGAACCAAGTAGCCTAGAAATACTGAAAAAATTAAGAAAAAGACATGTCATGAATGCATAAAATGTATGTAGACACTAGTCTATTTTATCATTTACTACAATAAAATATGCACAAATCTGTTATAAAAGGGTAAAATTTATCAAAACTTATGTACACAGACAACAGACAACATGGTGCTATTTGCAGTCAAGAGATGTAAATAAACATAATGATGAAGTATTAAATTGTAACTACATAAAATTAACTGTAGTATATACTATACTAATGTAATAATTTTATAGCTACCTCCTGTTGCTTTTGCAGTGAGCCCAATAATTGTGATTATCTCCTTAAAACACTGTGTGATAATCATGGCCATGTGATCAGTTCTTCCCTTCAGGAAAAAGTGATCTTGAAGTTCTGTTGTATTTTTCATCATGTTTAGTGCAATTTCACAAACTTTGGGTAACACCAAAGGACACATTTAGCATGCCACTACCTGATGCTGGAAGTACTTTCAAGAAGCAGAGAAAAGTCATGACATTACAAAGAAAAAGTTGAATCGTTTGATATGTACTGTAGAATGTGATGTGCAGCTGTGGTTGCCCACTATTTCAAGATAAGTGAATCCAGTGTAAGGACCATTATGTATATCTAAAGGAAATTTATGATGTTGTAGCTACAGCTATGCCAACAGGTGCAAAAACCATGTACTTTTTGCAAAACCCCTTATAACGAAAATCCAGTTTTTATGTGGGTGCAGAATTGCTATAAGAAAGGCATACCTGCAGACTCTAATATGATTCAAGAAAAAACAAAGTCATTCCACATAGTGAGCAGAGAGTGGTGAAAAGTCTGGGATGTTAGTGGTTGGAGGAAATGGGGAGGCTGGAAATGGAGTAGGAAATCTAGGATACAGCCAGGTGTTAGAGGATCTTGGATGCCCTGGGAAGGAGTTTGGATTTTAAGCCACAGAGGAAAAAAAAAAAATCATTATATGGCAACTTACAAAAAAAGGTGAAAGATCTAAAGCTGGATAATTTAATGCCAGCAAAAGATGGTTTGGTAATTTTTGGAAGAGGTTTGGCTTAAAAAAGAAAAAGTCAGGATAACAGGAGAAGCATCTTTTGCTGACCAAGAGGCAGCAGACAGGTTCCCAGATGTCATTAAGAAAATCATTAAGAAGAAAGGGGGTTTTTGGTTTCTTTTTTATTGCTTTTGTGTTTGTTTGTTTTGTTTTTTTGCAGTAAAGAAAGTTTAATTGATATGAGGCCACTGTGGCATGTAATCAAATCAATCTCCAAAAATTAGCAGGCTAGGGATTTTCAAGGATAGTTTGGCAGGTGGACTGGGGCTAGGGTATGGGAGCTGCTGATTGATTGGGGATGCAGTCATAGGGGTGTTGAAAATGGTCCCAGTGTGAAGACGGAGAGTCCAAGTGGGACATCAGTCATTAGAAATACAAAAGCCTGAAGAAACATCTCAAAAGGCCAATTGTAGGTTCTACAATAGTGATGTTAATTACAGGAGTAATTAGGGAAGTTGCAAATTCATTGGAATAATGGCTCCTAGTCATTTACACCTACATATTAGCAGAATGCAGACCCTTCTAATTCTCTTAACCTGTCGGCTTAAGTTTTACAAAGATGGCTTAGTTTAAGGGATATTATTTAAACTATAAAGTTCTCCCAAAGTTAGATTGGCCCACACCCAGGAATTGTGTATTAGTCTGTTCTCATGCTGCTAATAAAGACACACCTGAGACTGGGTAATTTATAAAGGAAAGAGGTTTAATTGGCTCACAGTTCCACATGGCTGGGGAGGCCTCACGATCATGGCTGAAAAGCAAGGGATGTCTTACATGGCGACAGGCAACAGAGAACTTGTGCAGGGGAACTCCTTTTTATAAAACCATCAGATCTTGTGAGACTTACTCACTATCATGAGAACAGCATGATAAAGGTTCACCCCCATGATTCAGTTATCTCCCACCAGGTCCCACTCATGATGTGGGAATTGTGGGAGCTACAATTCAAGGTGAGATTTGGGTGGGGCACAGCCAAACCATATCAAATGACCAAGAGCAGTTTGGAGGTTAAAGGCAAGACTGAGTTGATTAGGTCAGAATTTTCTCACTGTTACAATTTTTGCAAAGACAGTTTCAGTCCCCCTCCTTTGGGTTTCATCATACCTTATTTTTAATCTGTGGGTTATGGAAATGGGAAAAGGCTGACCGCCACTGTAACTTCTTCCTGCTCATAGGGCCAGATTTGGAGTAGGATTTGCCCTCAAGGTAAGAGGATTGAAACTGTCTTGTAATTGTTGGTATGTATTCATGTGTGCCAGGTTGAGGTCCCAAGGTCTGTATAACAAAACATTGGTGCTCTTATCCACAACTTTCATACAGCACTTAAGTGAACAGGTGGATGATAAGACAAATAATGAGCCCCAGCATAAGGAGAGAAAGTCCTCACTTCAGGAATCCTTGTAGAACTGACCTGAAGCCTTAAGGGATACAGGTGAATGACCCCAAGACTCAATCAGATATGGGGTCATTAGCAGAGACTCAAACATAGTGGACAAGGCTGGAATCTAATAACAGTTGTACTATAGTTTTTTTCTGAAACAATTTTTCTCTCTCCAGTTCCCCATTTCTACCAAACACAAATCTTAGTAGGACCAGTTTATTTGCAGAATAAGTTCCAGTCCCATTATATTTGGCCTATTTATTTGCATAAAATGCAGAAAGAATAGTTATTTGCCACATAGATTCTTTTTCTAAAAATAATTGGTTTTGCTGGAATTTATTTCATAAGGAATCTCAGATTAGACCTTTTAAGAGTCTCTAGCCTGGCCAAGGATTCATCTGTGCCTGCAGATACCTGTATGAATTGGGTGAATTTCTCTCTTCTTGAGGTCCCACAATAACTTGGGATTCCTGGGTCTGTCAGAAAGTGACATTCTTTATTTACTACAGGTTAGGAGCCCTGTAAAGGACAACATATGAGACCAGTATTTCCAAGGGGCTGTTATCAGCTCTGTAAGTCAACCTCAGTTACTCAAAGCAGCCTGAAACCATGCCATTTCCAGTCAAAGCCTTGGTAAAATAATCAGTGTCTCCAGTTGTGTCCTGTTACAGAAAGCAAAAGAAAGCAAAACAAAAAGCAGATTCTTATTGAACTTATGCAAAAAACTATGTTGCCATATGCTAAGAATACAATTAGTTTCAAAATTCTGGAGAAATCAGGTAGAGAGAAAGAAATAGCCTCCAAAGTTTGCAGAAATATGCTTCATTCAATTGTTAAAAGGTATAAACAGCTCAAAAGGAAAGTTGTTGTATTTTTTGACCCTGAAAAACAAAAAGGATCAGAAATATTTCAAACAGTCATACATTATTTCATTATTCTCTTAGTTCAGACCATACAGTTAATTCCTGTTCCGTTTAATATTCATGAACACATCAGCTCTTCTTGAGAGTCCTAGAAGTTTTTCCCTCTATATTAATGGCACAATCTTTAAAGATATCAGAAATGTGCATTCAAGAGCCCCTGTTAGAGTCCCATAGCTGATTATAAAATCACCTTTTGAGAAGGATCAAAGTAAAAATAATTTTGGATGACAAGAGGCTTAAAACAGCTATGGTTTAAGACTCAATTAACAAGGAAATTTGGTTATTTTTGTGGCATACAATTTAGTATAACAATTATTACTGATAACATATACTAAGTCATATTGAAATTATAGGAATCTTGCACAATTCTGGAACACATACCAATAACACTTTCATATAAATACAGCCCAAAGAAAGCCGAATACCAATTCATACTTGACAGTGCTCACTCTATAATTTCAACATGCCAGATAAGCCAGATGTCTCTTTTAGACTTCAGGGGACCTAATATTGAAGAAGTTAATGAAATCAAAAGGACTTAATTTAGAACTTGAAATTTTGATTTTGGAAGGTTTGTCAAATATCAAAGATTTAGAATACTTACTGTTACAAAATAGTATCATTGGTTATTCATTTAGCAGAAGTGATAACTCAAAAATTTCAAAAGGCAAAAACCCAAACAGCATACCCAATAAAGATAGCATGTGGCTGCCTGAGTCTCTCTCCCCTCTTTTTCCTTTATTTTTATTTATTTATTTATTTTTTGCAGTTTACTTAAAAGGCAAAAACCTTTCATTGTGGCTCAGTATTACAAAAAAACTTTGTTCAAAAGAGGAAAACCAAATTTTACCTTTGTATTGATGTACTGTTAATGTTAGGCCCAATTTTCAAATAAAACCTTATAAACAAATCTATACAGTCTTAATCAATTTGACCATAAGGTAAGATTTTCATAAACCCCCCATAACTTTTTATAATTTATTAAAGAGCAGATCAGTGTTCTAAGAAAACCATTATTCTGACACATGAGTACAGATTCTGGCCTTGTAACAATGTGCTTTTTATTTTAATGTTTTAATTTATAGAAAAACTAAATAATCCCCTTCAACTTTTGGCTACATTGCTCACACCCACA